CCCCAAAACCCCAAAACCCCAAAACCCCTTCTCGTCTAGATCGAATTGAACTTAAAATTAATGGTAGTAGAAAAACTTGTATCCATAGTTCCCTTCAAGTGGTCTTGGACTCATTTCAACTTTCCTTCTTTGATTCTCAAGCACATTGATTTCATCTGGTCGATATTTCTCTCGTGGAGCTTCTATACATAATCTAATATAATACTTTTCAAGATTTGGATGTTCGATGGTGCCTCCTAGAAATAAATTAAGGATCTTCTTTTCAAACCAATATTCTCAAAATCTTACCTTGCTATTTCTGGTCATTTCAAAGTTATTTATCGGGCTCACTTTGTTTACAGGAGTTACCTTTGGCTTTTTAGATCATTTCTTCTTGAAATCAATAAAGATACAGACTAATAGTTAAGGACTTGTCAGATCTGACAACTTACTCATGGAAATAATCTAGATATTATTAACATTTGAAAAGATCGATAATTTATAAATAAAAGGTTCAAGGAATGGTATGAATTAACTTACGAATCCGATGAACACATTTCCTGTCGATGTGTAAATGTAAGCCTATAATGTTATTTTTGAGCCTTACATATGCAACTGTGTCATCCCAGGCACTCTTTTTATGAAGATAAATGAATGATATTGCATAGCCACTGACCATCACTTCGCTGATGACTTCTCTGATGTTGTCTCGTGTCATTTCGAATGGACGATGAATCAACACATACACTGCAAACATAAGTTGTACCAATCAGAACAGTCAAATTCGGACATAATTTAACGAGGAAGGCAACAACAGCAAGATCAGACATAGAAAGAACTTTCTCCATGAGTTTTGTATGAGGTATAATCTTGACCACTTCTCCTTTTTAAGCCCTGCAAAAATTTCGCTAAAGTGAGGACTCAAGTCTTCAGAATCAATGGTGTGGTTTCTCTGCCAATAGGCTCACTCACTGAGTAGGAACACCACCAATAGAGTCACTACTATTCACGAAAACACCAACGAGATCATTTTGTTGCCATCAGTGTTGAAGGCATACATCTCTGAAAAGCATGAAATGCAAGTAACCATCAAAGTCTCAGTGATCAGTCGGATGTAGAAGTTAAATGTAAGGTGATTAAAGATCTTGGATATCATTTTTTGCATTCAGTTTGGATCTTTTCCAGGTTTTCATAAGCAATAAACAATGGCTACTCCCAGATGAATTCAGGCAACAAAGAATATCATCAAAACTAAGGATGAAATATTTATAACAGAGCTTTTCTGTTCTATCCCTACAATATTTAGTGCTTTACTACTCTGAGCTTCTTCAAATTCTATTTTAAGGTCTTGAAGAAGAGGAATCTTGTCAGTGTCAATGAAATCAAATGAGAATAATGTCCAATCCAAGCTTTCGTAAAAGCTTACAACTAATGTTGGTAGGTAAAAATCAAATAAAGGGAATAATAATAAGAGTTGGAATTGGTTGACTGCACTGAACATGCTCTGTGGAGATCCTCCACTTGAGATTGTAGAAACACCACTGACAACCATGGTTGCTGCTACAGCAGCTGAAGAGGCTGTTGCTACAGCTTGTCCTTGCTCTTTCATTACATTGTCTTGCTCTTCCAATGAATTTTCTTGCTCACTAGTTTGACTCTGAGGAACCACTGTATCTCAAGAAGAAGTAGTTGTATTGAATACAGTCCCCGCTTGTCAACTTGTTGTTACTATAAATAATAAACCTCCAATCAAAAGGACAAATCCACTCCAAACTTCAAAACCATAAACATATATTACCATCCATTGTCCCAAATCGGTATGGAAAATGATAACTTGAAGCCGGAACATTCACAAAAGACGCTCCACTTCTATATCTGAGCTTCAAAAATGCATCAAGCTGCTCTTCCTGGTATTCTATCCTTAACCACTGAGCGGTATCTTCATTAATAGTTTTAGAGAAAGTCACATTTCTATAATTGTTAGAAACCCTTACTCTGCAGGGGTTTGGAGTTGAGCATTTACTGCAAGATTTTCATCTGTAAGACTTAGCAAATTTCTAACTTACTAAGGTAAACTTTAGCATTATCATCATACTCTAGATGAAATTCAATATCTCCGAAATTAGGTGGAATTAGTATCGAATCAAACACAATACTTCAGTAATCTGTTGAGGTGAGAGGCTATATTATCAATTATTTCTAATCCTAATTCAAGAAAAAGCTCTGAAAAAAATGTAATTTACAGAGAGAGATCCTGACATCCAATTAAAATCAATGCCACTGCCTGATATCTTATTTGTTTCAACGTAAGTATTAAAATTATAATCATCGAAGAAGCGCCCTTGAATGATGTCTGTCTCAAGACCTATTACAGTTAGAGTGATATCTCCTTCAATTTCAACTGTGTAAGATGTTGTGTAAGTCCCATTGTTATGTGATGTCATTTTCATCAACTTTATATCACTCAAGCTGTCAGATGAGAGGGCATCATCAATACACACAAAATCTCCACTCCAAGTTCATTTATTCCTAATATCAAGATACATAATATCTCCTGCATTCAAAGGATTTCCATCTGAATCTTTTACTTCAGCAGTAACTGTGTAAGAACTTGAAGTTATTTGGGATAATCCTCCACTCCAAGTGACCGATGATTTTGCTAAATCTGGAGCAAATGCAGCTATACTATTAACTAGATTTATTTACTTGTTGCTATTTCCAATATGAAAGCGAGTACAATGAGATGTATAGCCCCTAATTTCCTTCAATTATCTCTATCAATCCGCCTCTCTCCTGACGAAAGGCTAAAAGTTAATAAAATGTTGCTTACAAAGGGTCTTTTCCTATTATAAGCTTCATATTTGCTTTCTTTATTATTATAACCATCCTATTTTCTATTTGAAGTGTTCATGCTGGGGTTTTGGGGTTTTGGGGTTTTGGGGTTTTGGGG